GCTGAGCAGGGAGCCCGATGCGGGGCTCGATCCCAGGACCCTGGGATCATGACCTGAGCCGAAGGCAGACGCTTAACGACTGAGCCACCCAGGCACCCCTAAATACATATTTCTTATTATAAATCACAACGTTACCACGGGCATGTGACCATTTATTTGCATGTGACCAATTCTCTACTAATCTCCATCAAATAGGGAGATGTGTTTGTTGTTCATCTGTTCATTCTCTGCCATATTGTCTATACTTAATAAATACTGGTTGAATAAATAATTTTTCTGACCCATACTCACCTCAGCTCATCTTGCAATTCCAGTTTGTCTTCCACAGTATCTGCATATTCTTCCTTTTGAAAGCTGACAATACTGTTATGCTTTAAGACATCTCATCCTGGAAGTCCACCATCCTCAAGACAATATTCTATCTCCTTAGTTTGGCATTAAAGTCCCTTCACAACCTGGCCCGGAACAGCTTCTCCAGTTTCATTTCTGAACATGGATGAAACACGGACACACAAACGAACACACACACACGCACTTCTGTAGCTGCATTCCACTTCTCCCACTTTCACAGACACATCTTGTACTTTCACTTCTCTGTATCTATGCACATGGTGCAGAAGATGGCAAACTAAATAGCCTTGAATTCAAGGCTGGTTTGCAACACGGAAAACTAATTAGTTTTATAACTTAGGGCAAATTTATTTGAATCTGCCTGAAACCTAATTTCCTCATTTGTAAAACAGAGATAGTGCCTCCCTCATAAGACTATTGTGAAGAAAAAAATGAACTAGTGTACTAAATGAACCTAATACAGTGCTTAGGGATATTCAATAATTGCTGGGTTCCATCCCTTTTACCTGAAACTGGAACTTACTCCCTCCGTTCCTGAATGCTACTTCTCTGTAGCTCCTTCCTTCCCAAGTCCCCAGGTATAGTTTATTTTCCCTGTGTATTCTCTGACTCTTCAAATATATATAAATGCCCACCCACCACATGATATACTGCCTCGGATTTGTTTCCAAATAAAAGGCGGGAGGGGAATAAGTAGAGCAGAGCGTATGGGTGCAACAAGCATGCCCCTGAGTTGAGAACTGTTTAAGTTGGGTGATGGCATTCATGGGGGTTCATTCTCCTACTCTGTCTGTACTTACATGTATGTTTGACATTCTCCACATTCAAGCTTTTTCATGTCTATTTCAGCACTTATCACATATTATAATTATCTGTTTATCTCTGCCTCCCATTAAATTGTCTTCTCTCCAAGGGCAAGGGGTAACTTCCATTCACCTCCCACCCAGCACAAGGACAGGCATCCAGGATGCAGTCAAAAAAATTTTCAATTAAGTGAATGAACCAACCCTCACAAAAAGTAACTGAGTTGTATAATACATCCCTTACTGTGAATATATGTTACACATCTTCAGATACAGGCTTGCCTATACATGGGAAAAAACACCAACATCACCAATGTGGTTCCAGCATCAATATAGTTGTGTTGCAGAATAATCCCTAAAAAATTATAATCCTTGACATGCAAACAATTTAACTACTATTTCAGTGTCAATTTAGTATCAAGTTAACCTTCAGTTATTCCTTTGCCGTAAGTAATACACAGAACTGAAAAGCTCTTAACTAAAGGTAAATGAAATTGCTATTAAACCTCCATATTGGTACTTTGAGACCAACACTCAAATCTGACATTAGTAAACTGCTTTATTTACCTTGGAAAGTATCCTTTGGTCCCATACACCACTAGGATCACTGCTTTGTAGCAAACGTGGAACATACACACATAAATGAGGTAAGCCCATAGGTCACTTTTCTTGCTCTTTGTACACTAACCCTCCAAGAGACATGCCAAGAAATTTCTGAAATATTCAAGCCATAAGGAAGACAAAGTAATTATTATAAGCCTTTGGAACTTACGTATGGACCCTTGTAAGACTGAAATGTCTCAATTCAAAAAAGAGGTTAATTTTCTAAGTTTTGTTTCTCAAGGTTCAAGATGTTCTAAATCTAAATTAAATTCTCCATGGAAAAGCTCTAAATTGTGGGTAGAAATATTTTAACACAAACTGAAGAAAATAAGGTGGTGCTTTATCCCCAAATACTCAATTAGCAGGAGATATTTTATATAATTGCTCCTTCAAACAGTCCAAGTTGCCAAGCCTTGCTCAAAATAAAGAAAAAATAGAAAGATTCCACTCCTCTTTTTTAGTCTAAACTCCAAACCTGTAACTCTCAGCTGGATCCACCTCAGATTACACGTTGTGCAAATTTCTGACACAGAACAAGAACCTATGGACTCGTATTTGTTTTCTCAGGTGGAAAGCCAGAGATGAGGGAAAAAAAAAGGAATGGAAGAAATCAATTCCTTACAGCTTACAGATGTACACTAAACTGTGGGGGTGCTGGATACGAATCAGAAAAACTCACCGACCATTTGGGAGGAACCTGGACAAAGTTCTGGAAGAAGACTGAAGGCCACTAAACTAGCTTCCCTCCAACCTAATTCTGAAAGATTAAGTGACTGTGCTGAGTAATCAGTCCACACATGTTCCAGTTTCCCTGAAATAATACTTTCTTTCCTAGCTGAAATGTAATAAATTTTCAGAGCTATTTAAAAGTTGGAATAAGCTTCTCTCTTTCAAGTATTTTTTAAAGACTTCCTTAGAAAGATTTAAAATTGTAAAAAGTCTTGTTGGGAGGGGTTGAAAGAATTCTGCAAGAGCACCAGTGGACCCTTATTTACTATTCTTTCTCTGCTGTAGCTGCCGAGTTCAGATTCTTTGCTCACACATCGACTACTTCAAGTCCTGCCCTTAGACTCATGCAATTTCACCACACCATCCTCCACACTCCCTCCATGAGATCTTATTGAAACAAGATCACCCCCAACTCAAAGGGACTTTTCAGGGCTCCTCGTTCCCTTTCCTGTAAAACCCAGACTCCTGAGCATGGCTTTTGAGGCCTTCCCATCTGGCCTAAACAACCTTTCCAACAATCCCACGTCTGCCTCCTCCCCACCCTGCATCTAAGGCTTCAGCCACTCCAGATGCCAACCAGTCTCTCAACACGTAAGAGCCACTCAAGCCTATGGGCACCTGGTGTGTCCCCTGCCTGGAAGCCAGAGGTCTCCCCACTTCATTACCCGCAAGACTCATTCTCCAGATTACCTCAAGACCAACCTTATGTTTGCAACCTTAACTCCATATGGCATGTTTTCTGCATTCCAATAACCCTCCTCACTAGCTTTCTATCACATCACTAGCCTTGTAATATAGCCAAGTCTGTATTTTGGTCATTGTCTCCACTGTACTCCCAACTCCTTCCCCTATCCCCCAAGTGCCCAGCCCAAGGCAA